ATAATGTTTTGAAGAATAGGAATTCTAGAACACTTAATTGTTCTCAGGTAGAACCTGTACATAGACCAAGAGGCAGTTGTTCAAACAGAACAAGGGGATATGCATGGTTTAAAATCAGAAAGGTGTATGTCAGGGTTGTATCCTTTCACCATACTTATTCAGTCTGTATGCTGAGCAAATAATCTTAGAGGCTGGACTATATGAAGAATATGTCATCAGGATTGGAGGAAGACTCACTAACAACCTGTGATATGCAGATGACACAACTTTGCTTGCTGAAAGGGAGGAGGCCTTGAAGCATTTACTGATAAAGATCAAAGACTACAGCCTTCAGTGTGGATTACATTTCAACATAAACAAAACAAAAATCCTTACAAGTGGACCAGTAAGCAGCATCACAATAAATGAAAAAAAGATTGGATCTACAGTCAACACAGATGGAAGCAGCAGTCAAGAAATCAGACATTGTATTGCACTGGGCAAATCTCCTGCAAAAGACCTCTTGAAAGTCTTGAAGAGCAAAGATGTCACTTTGAGGACTAAGATGCACCTGACCCAGGCCATGGTATTTTCAGTGTTCTCTTATGAATATGAAAGGTGAACAATGAATAAGGAAGACTGAAGAATTGTTGCATTTGATTTGTGGCGTTGGTGAACAATGTCAAATATACCATGGACTGCCAGAAGAATGAATAAATCTGTCTTAAAAGAAGTATGGCAACAGTGTTCCTAGAATGGAGGATGGTGAAACTTTGTCTTGCTTACTTCAGACACGTGATCACGAAGGACCAGCTCCTGGAGAAGAACATCATGCTTAGGGAAGTAAAGGGTCAGTGAGAAAGAGGAAGACCCTCAATGCAGTGGATTGACACAGTGGCTACAGCAGTGGGCTTGAACTGAGCAGCAGTTCTGAGGATGGTGCAGGATTGGGCAACGTTTTGTTCTTTTGAACGCGGTGTTGCTTTGAGTCAGAACTGACTCGAGGGCACCTAACTACAAAGTGATGGGGGAGGTGATAGATGAGAGAAATGGAGACTTTTCACTCCACGTGTATGTGTGTCCTTGCATGTATTTTTGAACCATGGTAATATGTAAACCAAAAAAATTAAATTGAAAAGGTTTGTTAAAAAGGGAAAGAAACTTTCTAGAAATAGGCAAGTGTATAGAGATCAAAGTTTATTAGTGGTTACCACGGGTGGGTAGGAGGGAGGAGGAAAGGAAACACAACACTCAGGGACATTGAGCTTCCGTTAAGGTTGATGGAAAAATTCAGGAATGGTTAATGGTGATGGTTGAACAATATGATGAGCATGTTTAAAGTCCCTGAACTGTGCATGTGAAGGGTGTTGAAATGCCAAATGTTTTTTTGTTACCTTTAAATTTACCACACACAAAAAGAACTGTGTATCTGTGTGTGTGTGTGTTAAAAAGAAAGAAACTCTCCCTTTGTATTCTGAAGGCAAGGGAGGTTGTGGGGCCTATCTTATAGTTATACATTATAATGAGTGGGTCACACCCGTGGAAATTTATTTGCTAAAAGAACTATCTTTTTCTTTTAGGTTTATGGTCAAGGTTTAAAAAGAAGTGTTTCAAGCTCACCAGGAAGATGCCTATCATCGGCCGCAAGGTGAGTGGAGTCTGTGTAGATCCTTCTTTTTCCTTGATGTTCACGCATTTTTCCTTCTACTAGCTTAACCCAGTATTCTCAGGGTGATTTTGTCTCCATCTCCAGGGGATATTTGACAGTGTTTGGAGGCATTTTTGATTGTCACACATGGAGGTTGGATAGAGGCCATGGGTGCTACTAACTGTCCTGTCCTGTCCAGGAAACTGCCCACAACAGTTATTACCTGGCTCAAAATGTCAGCAGTGCCAAGGTTGAGGAACTCTTTACTTAACTCTTTCTCCAACATACATGTTTGGCCAAAGGAGACAAGAGAATTCTGTTAAGGACTTAAAATTTGGAGTTAGAAAACCTGATGGAAGCAACATGGTGCTTTGAAGCAGCGTTAGGCTGGACTGAATTTAGATATTTATCCAGCGGTTGGGTGCTTACATGGCTTAGATCAGGGGTTGGCAGACTTTTCTGTAAGGGCCAGATATGAAACATTTTTTGGCTTTGTGGACCACACTGACTCTGTCACAGCTTCTCACTCTGCCTTTGTAGCGGGAAAGTGGCCGTAGGACATTAGGGGGAAGGACTGAGCTGGCTGTGTTCCGTTGAAACTTTATGTACAAAAACAAGCCACTGACCAGATTTGGCCCCTGGGCTGTACTTTGCTGATCCCAGGTTTAGAAACTTGGAGAGATAACAGAGCACTAGTATCTTGCTCTTTGCACCGGTCTGTGGTATGTTTCCTTCACTGGATCCCTTCTATCTTCTACCTACAGTGAGGCTAAGATATTCACCTTTGTACCCTTAAGCCTTTATGATGAAGATAAACAGGGCAAGCCCTTTGCAAATTCTGAAGAAGCCGCATGAGCCCTTGATGTCTCGTTTCCCCCGGACCCTGCCTCTCCTCAGCTTTCCTCTGGCCTTTCCCAGCCTCCTCTGTCCCTGCTTCAGGCCTGCTTTCACTTTAGCCTTCCAGTTCCCTTCCTTAGCCAAACCAGAGAAGATGGCAGTTATCCTTTAGCATTTGACAAAGTCCATTCAGACCACTGTGCTTAACTTTCTCTGAAATACATACTTTCAGGTCTATTTCCTGTAGAGAAGTAGAAGTAATAACTGGGGTGGAGAAGGGGAATGGGAGTAGATAGGCTTCTGTTGGCTCCTCAGATCATAATAAGCATAATAATTGTATTATTAGAAACAAATCTACTTAATCCTTCTAGGATAGGGGGTTGGGGCACAGAAAGCATTATATGCAGCATAGTCTATGTCCCAGAGAATAGAAAGATTTCTCCTTATTCCTCATCTTTCTGCCCTCACTCCTCTCACTTTTCTCCTTCAGTTCCCAGATTTTGAGACAAATAAATGCTAGGATTCTAGAACCCATTCCTATACTTTAAAAGTAACAGAATTAGAAGGTCCTTAGAGGCTATCTAACCACCCTTCATTTTTCAGAAACAGATTCTGAGGCTGAGAGGCAAAAGTCTCTGAGGTGGGGTATGTGTGTGTGTGTGTGCATGTGTGTGTTTCTGTCAGGCATTCGTTCACTTAGACTCATCTATTTAGCACATTTACTGAGTACCTCTGTGTCAGGTACCTATCTGGGTGCTAGGGATTTAGTAATAGTGAACAACATCAAGTCCTCCTTCTTGTGGAACGTAACGTTTTAGTAGGAAGGACAGAAAATACGTAGACAAATACATAAGGACTTCATTTTGAAATCAGTGGTATTAGGACACTAGAATTAAGCAATGTGGTAAAGACTCTGAGGCAAGGATTGAGAGTGGAGAAGCACGAGGCTGGGCTTTCTGATATACCTCATTATCATTTTTACTTGTTTTGCTTTATTGCAACAGCATGGTCTGCATGGAAGCCCAACTTTCATAGTTTGTTCCTCTCGTACAGTTGCCATTTATGTGGCATAATTCTTTACTCATAGCTTTAAAGTATCACGATGCCCCTAGAGTGCCCTGGCATTGCTAGTATCCTGCCTGTAGATTGTTGCGGACATTTTTTTGGGAGTGGCTTTCCCTGTGGTACTGAGGGCCAGATGTAAGAAAGGTCTTCTTGTGTTCTAGCATTGAGGGCTGGAGATGAGACAATGTACATAGTTTGGAGTGAGATCTTGGGCACCAAACTTTAATACATACATTGCTGAAAATATATCACTGTTACAGGCACAAAGTATAACATACAGCCAAACTCCAAACCTACCTCCAAAAGTCTTTTTATCACAAATAGCAGCCCCTGCCATTCTACCTCCTTACCCTGCTGTATTTCTTGTTTCTTCTGTGCTTCTAATGACTTGATATTTATTTTCTGTCTCCCTTGCTAAAATTAAACTTCATAAGAATATGCGTTCTGTTTACTATGTATTTTGGCCCTTAGTAGAGGTATGCAGTACTTCATGTCCAATATATTGTCTCTGAAATAGGACGTTGTGTGTACACCATATTATATGTAGACTGTATGTTTATATATATTCAATACACATATATCAAACTAAACCCTGCACAAGCTGCTCTGGCTCTCTGCTAGTGCCTGGAGCTCTCTGAGCTGCCCCAGGGAGCCTAATCGGAATTCGGAAGCCTTGAGGGGTGGAGCAGCAGTAGCCTAGGTCTCTCCGCAGGCCTCCACTTGTGGGGAGGCTAGGCAGGGAAGCGCCATCACCAGCTGTGAGAGCCACATGTGGGCTGCAAGCCGTGTTGTGGCTGGAGGGTTGCAAGCTGTATGGTGGGTGGAGGCCTGTGGCTGAGCTACAGCTGTGGTGCACCGTAAACTTGATGCCAGCCCTGGTGGCCTTCCAAGCAAGCCCTCTTCCTTGCCCCACAGACGTAGTCCTGTCTGAATAGACATCATGTGGTGCATGCCTATAGTTGTTCAACAAATATTTGGTGAATGAGTGAGTGAATGAATGAAAGAAAGTAAATGGCTCAGAAGTTGTGACTATGAGGATGATAAATAAATACCATGACTGATAAATTTCACAGCAGAAAAGACCTTAGTTCCTCCATGCATTTTAAGCTGTGAGCAACATGAGATATAATGCAGTCTTCCTGGCAGTTCTTAAAATATCTTGTGCTTGCATGTTAGGAGTTGTGTAGGGCCTCCAAATTGCTTGTGTTGAAGGAGCTCATCACTTATACAAGATGACAGTCCCTTTTACTGTATCTTGGCCTATTTGCTGGATATTATTGATGGTTCTCCTTTTGTTTTTTTAGCATAGTGTAGCTGCTGCCAGGGCAGGAACAAAGTCCAACTATTGCCCTGTGAGAAGTGTTGACTTCAGCAAATGCAAACCTAGTAATAAATGGTAATGTCAACCTGACAGAGAAAAGGGATGTGGGGAAGTTGAATGCATCTTTGACCTTTGAAGAGGAAGATGGCTTTTCAGACTTCTAAGAGACTGTTGCACATGCTAGAAAAATAGGGAAATAGTTACAATATCCCCATAGCTTGCTAAGAAGAAATACCTGCTTAGCTCTGCAGCCCCCATGCTGTTCACAGTGTTGAGCAATTGTTGGATATCATACTGGTTCTTCTATTCACTGCACTGTACTCGTCCTTCTCCTTGTTAACTTTGTCTTCTTGCCTTTGGAGATCCAAGAGAAATTAAACAAGGCCAAGGATGATATTAATAAGAACTTGTCATTCCTGAAAGTGGACAAGGAGTATGTGAAAGCTCTGCCATCCCAGGGTCTGAGCTCGTCTGCTGTTCTGGAGAAGCTCAAGGAGTACAGCTCGATGGGTATGTTGTGACCACGTGCATGATCTCTGCTTCCTTAAAATGGTTGGCTGTGTCATCATTTAACGTTTACATAGGTTAAGAATGGCTTACCCCTGGTGCTTAGGCATTCAGGGGCTTCACTTTCTGTTTCAAAGGCTACATTTCATACTTTAAAAATTATACTTAGATTCATCCCCATCCATAGAGCAAACAAATCTCATGGACAGTGAACTTGGTTCCATTTGCTTTTGTAAGCAAGAATAAAACAAATATATTTGTTTTTTTAAAGTGAATATATATAACGTAAATGAAATATAGATTCATAGGCACAAAAGAAAATAAAAAGTCACTATAGTTTCATCATCAAAAGATAAACAGATGATACCAGAATGTTAATAGTGTTATGAGCACAGATGAGAAGGATAAATATACCAAATAGCTTAATGATTAAGACTACAACCCACGGAATCAGCCTGGATTCACTTCCTGCTTATACAACTTAAAGTATGACCTTGGATGAGTTACATACCTTCTGTATGTCTCAGTTTCTGTGTCTCTACAATGAGGATAATAATCATAGTACTTATCTGAGAGGATAATTATGGGCATTAAATGAAATCATACATGTAAATGTCTTATAGTACATAGCTTATGGTAAGTGATCAATAAATATGAACTTATTATTACTGTAATTAACACAAACATGTATGTTTATTGCAAATTAAGAAAATATTTAAAATACTTTCTAAAAATAAACATTATAGTTTGGGATAATTTTAGATTTACAGAAAAATTGCAAAGGTGATACATAGAGTTCTCATGTACCCTTTACCCAGCTTCCCCTGACAGCAGTATTTTTATAGGACCCTGGTACATTTGTTAAAATGAAGAAATTAACATTAATATAACACTATTAACTAAACTACAAATTTTGCTTTCATTTCCCTAGTTTTTCCACTAGTGTCCTTTTTTTATATTCTAGGATTCAGCCTGGTATACCACATTGCATTTAGACCAGTATATTTTAAATTTTCTAGTTGCCATGTTTTGAGTGGTGCAAAATTAAATATAGTCTAGAGTGTAGATACGCATGATACAAAGCTGGGGTTAGCACCCTAAGGCCTGAATATTGAAGATTTCCGTGATTGTGAAGATTGGTTACTACCACCAAATTTCCTTCCCTTCGGTCTTTAAGTCAAACCAAAACCAAACCTATTGCCAGCAAGTCGATTCTGACTTATAGCAGTCCCATAGGACAAAGCAGAACTGCCCCATAGGGTTTCTAGTGCTGTAAGTCTATGGAAACAGGCTGCCTCATCTTTCTCACTCAGGGTGGCTGGTGAGTTCAGACTGCTGACCTTTTGGTAGTAGGGAAAATCTTTAACCACTATACCACTAAAGCTCCTTGCCATACTCTCTTGTTGTTGTTGTTGTTACATGCCATGGAGTTAGACCCGACTCACAGTGACCCCTCCTTGGGTTTCCAAGGCAGTATCACTCTAGAGCCAATAAAAGAACAGGAAATGAGAACAGGTATCTTGTTTGTGAAATGCTGGTAACCCCTGGTTGAAGATATGTTCAGTACAGAGCAGTGTCCTCTAAGGAAAGAGTGAGAGTCAACTGGCAGCAAGCCAGAGCTTGGCAGATTGCTGTGGGAATGATGAATTTGCCTGTAGAGTTACTACCCATAGCTCTCTGCTCTGTACAGTCTTATGGAGTTTTCAGTGAGTGTGTTTCTGTAATAGCTTCCTCACTACCTGCTTTCGATAGGGCGCAGCCATGTGGTCGCCAAAGGACCCAAGACACATAAACAGATTTGTTGGTATAAAGTAGTCAGGCTTAAGGGAGCACCTCAAACAGAAGTGGAATGTTTGACCTCGTTTTGTGGCAGTCCAATAACTGTTCCTTTGGGCTTTATCCCAGTATTGACTGTGTTCCTGATCTTGAGGGCTGCAGCCATATAGTGCTGGGAAAAAAACAACAGAACAAAACAAAAAAGCCAGTTGCTATGGGGTTGATCCCAATCCAGTAGTGACCTCATATACTTTGGAGTAGAACTGCACTCTGGGGGATTCCAGCAGCTGTGTTCTTTCAGAAGTCCATCACCAGGCCTTCCCGTGGTAACTTGGGGTGGATTTGAACTGCCATCTCTTCAGTTAGTAGCTGAGTGTTTAACTGTTTACATTACCTAAGGACTTTTATAGTGCTAGAAGCAGGTGGCTAATTTTGGTGAGGCTTCCAGGCTCGCCTCAAGGGAGGGGCCCCTGAGACCTGGATGCTGATTGTTCATCTCTCATTGTGGTTTTGTCTAGTCCTGGATATTGTCCCCTGGCTCCTACCCTAATGAGAAACAGAAAGAAAGGAGGAAGGACGGGAGGGAGGGAGGATTGATGGGAGGGAAGGAGGATGGGAGGGAGGGAGGGAGGAAGGGAGGGAGGGAGGATAGAAAGAAGGAAGGAAGGAAGGAAGGAAGGAAAACCCACTGCCTTCAAGTCGATTCTGATTCATAGTGACCCTCATGAAAGTACACTGAAATTGTACTTTAAACAATGTTTTGTTTAATTTTGGCTTGCTGTTCGTCTGCCAACTCTGCTCTTAACAGCTCCCGTACTTCCTATGGGTGGATGGAAAATGGAAAAGGAGAGAAGGAAGCTTTTCCAGACAAAGGTCAAGATAAAGCCATATCAGAGAAAATAAACGTGAACAAAGGAAAATGTTTCTGCTGTTAGAAGGCAGTTGAGAATAGATGAGGACAGCCTTATATTGAACTGTCTTTATTGTACCTGTATGCTGTTAATATTTTTCATACTGTTGTTGACAATAGTTGATGATTAGAAGTTATTTTGCTGTGATAGTACCTCTTGGAAATACTTTACCTTCTTGATTTAACATAAGAGTGCAATTGGATTTCCATTCATTTTTTTTTTTTTTCTTTTGTACCCAAGGGATTATTCCAAATTCTTATTGGAACCCAACATTCTTCCCAAAGGTTCCTCTTTACTGACCTAGTGGCCTTAACTTATTCTGCAGATGTCTACTGGCAAGAAGGGCGAGCCTCAGGAGCCGTGTACAACGGGGAAGAGAAGCTCACCGAGCTCTTGGTGAAGGTGAATGTCCATAGTTGATGGAAACACCTGACCTAAGACTGTGTGTGGTATTTGCCAGTTTAGATGACCTCATTTTTTCCCTTTACTTTTGTAATTAAAAACAATTAACTTAAGGAAAGTTATTGTTAAAATTAAACCACAGAAATTTAGAAAGTTTACGTTTCTCTTCTCCTAGACGTAGACAGAGTCAAAGACATCATCAAACTCTAAAAAAGTAAACTAGACGGGACTTGTGTCCAGGCTTTATACACACCCTGCATAGAAGGGCAGATTATTAGGGAAGGTAATGCCATCGTTTAAGATTATTAATGGTTAAGGTGGAATGTGTTTGGTAAGAAACCTGGAAATTTGGGCATCATTTCTTGAACTACCTGAGTCTCGATCAAATGGCCTGAGATTAGCAATAGTCTTATCTGTAATTCAAATAGTTTTATTCTTTGTTGACTTTTCACATTTCTCATTTCTTTTTTTTTTTTACATTTCTCATTTCTAATTAAATTTATTTTTGAAATCCACTGTCATATAAAACAGAGGTTTCACTAAATGATCTCGAGACCTTTGTGTTTGATTGTTATAACTATGAAACTGCTCACACCATACTAAGTATTACAGATTTTGCTGGTCTTAACTTCTATTCCTTAAAATCTTTCAGTGACGTCCCATTACGTACAGGATAGAACCCAAGCTTCTTATGTAACAGAGGGTACAAGTCCCTTCATGAGCTGGCTCCCACCTATTTTTTTCAGCCACTCCTGTCACTTTCCCATGTAAACACTGACTACTGCCTTTTCTCTTTACTGGACACATCATGCTCTTGTCAGTTGTTGTCTTTCCCCTTCTCTATCCTACCTGTTCTGAATAGTGAACTCCTGTTCTCTCACAGTTCACTGAGCAGACACTTGCAGACCACTGAGGGTGTTTGTTAGCACTACTTATGGACATCTTACATTGCTATATAATAACAGCTGCTTTGTGCACACACTTGTACAAGTAACTTCAAATATAAGAATCAGCACAAAGCCAATTCTCATGAGACACAGAGGTCAAATATATCCCAGAGTCCCACATTTTCCAAGTTGCTGTACCACTCCATCTCTACCATCAGCCATTCTCCCTCCCCTCAGCACTCTTCCCTCCTACATTTGGGTTCAACAGTTTGCTTTAACATCTTACAGAAATCACAAACTGTGCTTATAGATAAGTGGTTTAGGAAGGAGCAGGATACACTTGGGATTAGGGTAAACAGGTTGCACCTTGGGATTAGGATCAGTAAGCATGCAGGTGGTCTGGAAGGCTTTCCCAAACTGAAAACACATCCCTTCAGTACAGAACAGCTCTCTCAGCTCCTCTAGGCTATGCAAGGAAGCAGACCTTTCTCTCTGCCATGCATGCCCCCTCTCAGCCCCCTGAGGACAAGCCTTTATGCTATTGGCCTCACTGGCATTGGCCTCTCCATTGCTAACTGACCCAGCTGATAGCCAGTATAGCAGTTTTGTTAAGCTCTTTTAGCTGCATTCCTAGTGGCTGGTTTTTGCCATCACCACCAACTCAGACCCTCTCTAGGCCTGTTGGCCTGGCTTTGCCACAGGGACCCTTCAGGGCCTCTTATTGTCTGGCCTATACAACTCTTGACCTGTGTTGCAGCTCTGTTATGAAGTTCCTCACTTACTTTCTGTTTCTTCTCTTCTCACCTCTCCTTTTGTTCTTCTTGCTCCTTTCTTCCTTCCCTTTCTGTGAGTAGACTTTCGCAGGGTTGGTTGCATGTATGAGCAAACAAATTCCTGGTCAATTTTAAGGCATGGCCCTCCCACACAACCACAAACTGACTAACCCCTCACAGTAGGCTACAGCCAGTTCATTTGCATAAGCATTTTATAGTCATTTCAGTTGCTTAAGTATGTTGAGCAATCCCCGTAAGGTATGTGAACTAGACCAATCACAGTGCAGCCAAGACAAAAAGTACTACACCATCAAGTTGTTTACAAACTTGCCCAGGAAATTGTCAGTCAACCTGAACAAAAGTAACAAACCTTTTAGGGTAGAAAAGTAGGGCAAATGTAACTCCTCAGGCTGTCTCAAGCTGTTTTTCCAAAGAACCAGGGCAAAAGACCATGTAAAGGAATTAATTATACCACAACACTCAACTAAGTGTTTTGCAAGCATTAAGTTATTTAATTATCCCTAGAGCCTGATAAGATAGATATCATAACTATCCCCTTTTGCATAAGAAGAAACAGCCTCAGAGAGTTTATTTGACCTAAGATCACATAGCTAGAAGTGATAGATGGAAAGCTAAGACTTTAAACTGGATCTCTCTAGTGTCAGATTCTGTGTTTTTAACCACATCTATACTTACTAATGTGCCTAATACCTAGGAATTTCTGTTTACGTCATATATGCTTGCATTTCTTTGCAGGCTTATGGAGATTTTGCATGGAGTAACCCGCTGCACCCAGATATCTTTCCAGGACTCCGTAAGATAGAAGCAGAAATTGTTAGGATAGCTTGTTCCCTTTTCAATGGAGGACCTGATTCTTGTGGATCTGTAAGTATATGCAAGTAGCATCCAATAGACTTTTTCTTTTTTCTGAGCAGAGTTTATTAAAAATATTTTACTATATAAGTAACAATGATTATTGTAGAAAAATCCAGATTAACAGAACTTTTAAAATACTACTTGTAATTTTATAATCCATAGATTGTCAGAGTTTTAGAATATATTCTTATAGACATTTTTGTCTGTAATTTCTTATTTAACAGTATTTTAAATCTACATAAACTTGCTAAAATTGTTTAAAGTATACCAGAGATTTACCAAATATATTTTGCCACATCTGCTCCCTCCCTTCCTCCCTCCAATCCATCCTTCTAGTCTGTATCTGTTGGTCATTTTGCTGAACTCTCTAATAGTCTTTTTCATGTATTTCCCATGTTACCTTAGCTGGTGGTTTACTTTTATTGTTTCACTGTAAAGTGAATCTCACTCACTTGTTTTTGGAATGAAGGAAGGGGAGTATCATCTGTATTAAAAGACACATGAAGATTCCTTATTTCAACTCTTCTTTCAAGTAGGCATTTGTTGGTTGATAAACTTTTGTTTAGATTTGGTACTACAAACTCTGACGTCTTCTCTAGAAAAAAACTAAATCTCAGTTTATATAGAATAGATACTTAGCTTTAACCCAGTATGTTGGACTGGTAATCTAGAGGTTCTAGGTTACCAGATATGTTAATAATCATCAAAATCATCGTACAGTCAGATATGTTAACAATCATCATACAGTCGGCCAGTATAATTATTGAAGGGTCCAACTGAGGACAAGAAAATTTTATAACTAGTTTCTTTTTTTTTCCCCCCAAAAAGCAGTGTTTTTTTTTTTTATTGTTAATTAGCACCATGAAATTCAGTATGTTTAAATATTCAGTAACTAATAAAACTGGTGTTCCTGGCATTCAGTTTCAAAACAAAATTCCAAAGCTGCTAAAAACTAATCCAACTGTAATACTGCAGCAGCTTCTCTTATGGCAGTTAGATGAACAGAGTGATTTCTAGAGGGGAGATGGTGATAACGCTTACAGTAGGCGGCTATGCTGTGTGCCATTAGACTGTATGAACTTTTAAGAAACTGTAGGTTAAACAACCATGCTACTGGTCTTATTTAGTAAAGTTGACAATACACCAGTCCTGTGACCCAGCAATTCTGTTTCTAGGGATATACTGTAGAAAAATTAGTGCATTTGTGTTCTAGGATATATATATATATATATATATGTACATGAATGCTCATAGCAGCATTGTTCATAATAGCTACATATTGAAAAGAATTCAAGTGTTCATTAATAATTGGATAGATAAATAATTTGTAGAATATTCTCTATGCTTCAATCTATTACAGTTGTTATTCTTATTGATGCTCAAATAATCCCATATTTGGTCAGTAGGAGGCACTTCATTTTGCCTTTGGGTCCTTTTTCTTGACTTAAGTAGTCTTTGCATTCTTGCTTTCTGGTTTCACAAAATATTCTAGATTCCTCTTATGCATTCCTTTCTCCAGACCTGGAATCAACCATTTGTCTAATGAACCCCCTAGTTCATTTTATGACTTTGTAAAAGATTTACATGTTTCCAAAGTTAATTTATGGAACAAGACAGATCCAAAAAAAGTTAACCAGAATGCAGTTGATAGAAACAAAGAAATAGAAAGAATAAAAGAGAAGTTAAGTGACATGAAGGATAGAGTAAGATGATATAACATATTCCTTAATAATTGGTATTTAAGATCAGTTAGAGAAATAAAATAGATAACCTATAGAGGGATAACCATTAGAACAGCGGATACTCCCGATGGCAAAAGGGACAGGGGCAGTTGGGGATGGATGAGAGCTTGGCCATGAGTTGATAATTGTTTGAGCTGTGTGATAGATTCAGACAGGGCTCTGTTGATTCCGTCTTGAGCTGTGTCTGATACGCTCTTCAGTTCTTTTGTGGGACTTCTACATTTCATTCACTGTATTTTTCATTCTTGAGAATTCTGTTTGGTCTTTTTTTTTAAATTTTAGTAATTTTGTTGTTGAGAATATACGCAGCAAAACACACCAATTCAACAGTTTCTGCATGTGTAATTTAGTGACATTGATTATAGTTTTTAAGTTGTGAAACCATTCTCATCCTCCTTTTCTAAGTTGTTCCTTCCTGATTAACACAAACTCAGTGACCCTTAAGGTTTCCATATAATCTTTTGAGTTGATCCCATATAGATCGTTCTTAGAACAAGACAGACCTTCTTTTTTTTTTTTTTATAACTACTTACGGTAAACTTTTGTTCTGTTTTGAGAACACTTCAGGGGATATTTTTGGTTTAAGGTTAAAGATTATCTTAGAGCAATAGTTTCATGGGTTTATCCACCTTCCATGGATCCAGAAAATCTAGACTCTATGAGAATTTGAAAATCTATTCTTCATTTTCCCTCTTTTGATCAGAATTCCTCTATGGAGTCTTTGATCAAAATGTTCAGTAATGGTAGCTGGGCATCTAGTTCTGATCTCATGGCAAAGGAGGGTTGTTGATGGAGGCAGTTAGCCACACAATCCATGTCTTCCTCCTATTTCTGACTTTTCTTCCTCTGTTGTTGTAGGTGATTAGAGACCAGTTGTTGTGCCTTGGATGGCTGCTTACAAGCTTTTAAGACCCAAAGCACTACACAACAAACTAGGAGGCAGAGGCATTAAACATATTATTAGGCCACTTAACTGGGATATCCCATGAAACCGAGAGCCCAAGAGTCCAAACTAAGGAACCAAATCCCATTAAGTGTTTTGGTTGTAAATAAGCAGCCTTAGCAATTACTCCCCCCACCATTTTTGTAAATACATATATCAAACAGCTTTTGCCAGTTCCACATATGTATTGACAGCAATTTTTTGATGAATAAAAGTTTTTAATTTTTATGAGATCATTTATTTATTTGTCTTTTGTTTGTGGTTTTGTTATTATATTAAATAATCATTGTTAAAAGGTAGGCCTGATGGCGTTGCCCCTGCTTCTTCTAAGAATTTCATGGTTTTAGTTTGCACATTTAGGTCATTAATTTGTTTTGAATTTGTTTTTGTGTATGGTGTGAGGCATAGATTCTGTTTCATTTTTCTGCATGTGGAAAGCCATTTTTCCCAGCACCATTTATTGAAAAGACGACTTCTTTCTCCATTGAATGAACTTGCCACCATTGTCAAAAATCATTTGACTGTGGATGTGTTGCTTTATTTCTAGACTCTGAGTTCTAGTCCATTGATCTGTGTTTCTGATGTTATACCAGTACCAGGCTGTTTTGATTACTGTAGCTGTATTGTTGTTGTTGAAGGAGTTAGCTGCAGTGTGATCCAGGTGAGGAGAGGGAACCCGGGCCGTGCCCCATAAGCAGCGAGGTGGGCAAGCAGGGAGAGGGCAGAAAAGGCAAAGGGGACCAGAACAGATCGAGGAGTCAGCCATAGGGACCCAGGTGAGGAGAGGGGACCCAGGCGAGGAGAGGGAACCCAGACCACACCCCACAAGCAGTGAGGTGGGAAGGCAGGGAGAGGACAGAAAAGACAAAGGGGACTGGAACAAATTGAGGAGTCAGCTGCAGGGACCCAGGTGACCCAGGTGAGGAGAGGGAACCCCAGCCACGCCCCATAAGCAGCAAGGCAGGAAGGCAGTGAGAGGACAGAAAAGGCAAAGTGGACCGGAACAGATCGAGGAATCAGCTATAGGGATCCAGGTAAGAGTGGTTGGAGGGGTTTCCAACAGCTGAGGGAGACAAATTTGTCTGTCGGTTTGTCCTGCTGTGGTGATGGGTTGCTGTGAGTCTTGAGGCTGTGCCACTGGTATTTCCAACCCTGTGGGGTGCACGTGGTGCTCAGGTCTTGGCCCGGTTTGCAGACTGAGACAGACTAGGAAGAAGGAAGAGGCCATCCACTTCTCAAAGCATTGGCCAGGGAAAACCTTATGAATAGCAGAGAAACACTGTCTGATAC